TCTTTGGTTGCCAGGGGCCACTCCTGGGCAGAGAGGATCGTTCAGGAGCTCACAAAGGAGGTGTTCCCATGGGGGAGCTCTGCAGGGTCCCAGCAGCAAATGCCCCAGTGAGGCCTGTGCTGTGGGGGAGTGTGCAGGGGGAGGAGGCTGGGCCAGCCCAGGGCCGGGGCAGAAAGGCTGCCCCAGGGAGGGGGTTCTGACCCTGCAGGGCCAGCTCCAGCTGCCTGGGCCCCTGTCTTTGCAGGACCACATCCCCCAAAGCAGTGTCAGCTCCCTGTGTGCCAGCCCCAGGTAAGGCCCTGTGTGTGTGTGCCCTGCAGGCCTTGGCTTTGGCAGAAGTCCTTCTGGGGCTTGTGCAAGGGGTGGTGAGTGCAGGGGGAGTGAGTGGGCTCCTGGTGGTTTGAAGGGGAGGGGAGCTTTGGCCACATGGTTTTTCTCCCTACAGTGCCAAACAGCATCTCTGAATTCTTCCTATGTCACCTGACCTTGCTTCCACTGGGCACACACCTTCCTTTTTTGCCTTATCTCCAAGACAAGATCCCTGCTCGGCCAAGCCACCTTCTGTCTCACCTGCTTGACTTCCAACATTTGGGAATTGCTGCTCCTGTGCCCTTAGGAGGTGATGTTTGAGAAGTGACCAGCAGTGATGGCCCCCAGCACCTGCAAAAGCATTTTCCCAGGGGACCTTCCTTCCTAATTCCCTGAGCAGCCTAAAGTCTGCTCTCCTCATGGCCAGAGCTGAGGTTTTGCTGGCACTTTTTCTCCTGTTAACAGAGATTTTTAACTTGATCACTTTGAGGTCACTGTGGCCAAGATGGCCCCAATCTCCACTTTGCTCACAAGATCCTCTCTGTGGACAAGCAGCAGATCAAGGAGGGCATCTTTCTAAGTCCTAAGGACCTGTTCCATAAAGTTGTCATCCAGGTTTTTTAAGGAATCTTCTGGCCTGGGTTGTATCATTTGTGTGATGCTCCCAATTAATTTCTGGCAAGTTGAAGTCCCCCATAAGGACAAGGGCAATTGACTTGGAAGTGTCTTTAGCTCCTCAAAGAATAATCCATCGGTGTCATTGTCCTGGCTGGGAGGTCTAGAGGAGACTCCCATGGTGATATTGGCATTATTTGTTTGCCCCAAGGCCCCCCCTGGGAAGAACTTGGAAGCTTTACTGGAGCCACTGAGAGCAGCTGAGCAGGGGCAGAGAGACAACGGGGAAGGGGGAGACACATGATGCCCCCCAAAATCATCAGGGGGACAGGGGGTGTCCAGTCTGGGCCTGAGGCCATGGGGAGGGACTGTGGCCACCGCTGGCTCAGGATCTCTGGGCAGAGAGAAAAGGGGGTGACACTAAGGTTGGGGGGTCCCCTGGGGGGCACACACACTCCAGGGAGAGGAGGACATGACCCCTGGGGACCCTCCTCACCTTCTGGTGCAGGTAGAAGCCGAGCCTCAGTGCCAGGAAGACGAAGCCCAACATGAAGCCCCCGACTCCCGTCAGCATCTTGCTGTGGGTGGTGTCCAGTAGCATCTCTGGGGGTCCGGGGGTGTCAGGAGCCCCCAAAACATCTCACAGACCCCCCCACAGACCCCCCCACGACCTCCTAAATTTCATCCTAGTCGCCCCCAGCCCACCCAGGACTCCTGAAACCTCTTTCAAGTCCCTACCCAGCTCCCCTAGGAATCTTCAAACCCCCTCCTAGCCCCTCCAGCACCATCCAACCACACTCCCTGTTGTCCCCGGTCCCCTGAGGAGTCCCCAAACCCTCCCCCAGTCCCTTCTCGGACTGCCCAGGAGCCCCCAAACCCCTCTCTCATCCTCCCCATTTGCTCAAATCACACCCCTAGTCCCCCTCCTGGCTCCCCTCAACTCCCTCCCAGGTACCCCCAAGACCCAAAAACTCCCTCTCAGTTGCCTCCAGGACCCCCCAAAGTCTGTACCAGTTGCCCCAAACATCTCCCAAGCCCCTTCTCAGTTACCCCCAGGACCCCCATCTGCGGCTCAGCTTTGGGGTCCTGCAAGATCCAAACATCCCCAACCGCCCCCCAGGGAAAAACCAAACAGACACCCCCAAGATATTTGGGCGAGCTCCCCCTCCCCGGTCACCTACGTGATGCGGGTCCGGGCTGGGGGGGCGATGCTCCTCCCCTTCCTCCTGCTCTTCCTCTTCCTCCGGTTCCTCCTCCTGTTCGTTCCGCACGGGCGAGGCGCTCTCGGGTGAGCGGCGGGGGGGACACGATGGGAAAGAGGGGAGAGGGGGAAAAGAGCGGGTGAGACCCCCAAACTGAGCAAGAAAGGGGGTGGGTCACCCCCAAAGGGAGCTGGGGGGGAGCCGGGGTTTGGGGGAACGATGGGAAAGGGGTGGGAGAGGGGAGATAAGGGGAGGTGGGACAGCGGGAAAGGGGTTCCATTGGGGCCCCTTCGTGTCCCCATCCCTTGGGCCCTGGAGAGGGGGGAGCCTGGAGAGAGGGGACCCCCGAGGCCCCTGTCCCGAGCCAGCGGTCGGGGCCGTGCTGCTCGTTCTGAATTCCCGTCAGGCTGAACAAAGACCCGCTCCCGTGTCAGGAGCTCTTGTGTTTTCTTGTCCCCAGCACTTCCAGGAGCTCCCCCCACATTCCCAAAGTTCTGCCAGGCGCTGGCTCGCAAGGCCCAGCACAGCCCCCCAATCCCCCCAGTGCCCCCCAAAGCTCGGCGCGGGGGTGAGATAGAACAGGAGAGCCGGGCTGGGCCCGGGGAAAGGCCGGGAAGGGAACAAAGAGTGGCCCCGGGGCTCGAATCCCGCGTTGGTGCTGCCGCGGGGCTGGGCCGGAGCTGGGAAACGGGGACGGGAAAGAGAGAAGAGGGAAGAAAGAGGCAGAGGAAAGAGAGAGAACAACGAAAGCGAGGGGACCCGATCCACTCCCTTTTCTCGTTCCCCTGGTGCAGCCTCTTGTGTAAACAGACTTCTGGGGCGTTTTGTTCCCTTGGGCACATCCGTCCCTTCCCCAGGGAGTGAGTCTCAAGGCGGAGCAGGGAGTTCATAGAACCAGAGAATGGGCTGAGTTGGGAGGGTCAGGATCATTGAGTGCAACTCCTGCCCCTGCACAGGACACCCCAAGAATCCCACCCTGTGCCCGAGAGCATTGTCCAAATGCTTCTTGAGCTCAGACAGGCCTGGTGCTGTGACCACTTCCCTGGGAAGCCTATTCCAGTGCTCAGTCACCCTCTGGGGGAAAAACCTTTTCCTAACATCCCACCTAAACCTCCCTGACTCAGCTCCAGCTGTAGAGTCCTGTCACTAGTCACAAGAGTGAAGAGATCAGTACCTGCCACTCCACTGACCCTCAGGAGGATGTTGAAGACCCCACTGAGGTTCTCAGTCTTCTTTTCTCCAGGCTGAACAAACAAAGTGCCCTCAGCCACTCCTCATAAGGCCTTCCCTCCCGATCCTTCCCCATCCTCATGGCCTCCTTTGGACGCTCTGTTATGGCTTCATGTCTTTTTTATATTGTGGTGCCCCAAAGTGCCCCAGAACTTGAGGTGAGGCTGCCCCAGTGCAGAGCAGGACAATCCCCTCCCTGGCTCGGCTGGCAACGCGGGGCCTGATGCCCCTCAGGACAGTGTTGGCCCTCCTGGCTGCCGGGGCACTGCTGACTCATGGCCAACTGGTCACCAACCAGGACCCCCAGGCCCCTTTCCTGCAGCTGCTCTCCAGCCTCTTGTTCCCAGTCTATACACACAGCTAGGGTTGCCTGGAGGAGGAGGAGGAGGAGCAGGTGGAGGAAGAATGCAGCAGGAGGAGGAGTAGTGGGAGGAAGAGCAGGGATAGCAGAGGAAAAAGAGCAGGAAGAGCAGGAAGGTTGCTGTTCTGCTGCTGACTGTATCCGCAGCCCCCCCACCCCCGGGAGCATCGCCCCTCCCTCCTGCATCCCAAAGGTGACTGGGGAGGGGGAGCTCACCCCAAATGTCTTGGGGGATTTCTGGGGGTTTTTTGGGGGGGACACGTTTGGATCTTTGAAGACTCCAAAATGAGCTGCAAATGCCCCTCAGGGGGATATTGGGGTTCCCGTTAGGTGTTTTTTGAGGGTCCCCAAAAAACTGCCGGCAGAGTCCCAGCAGTGGGCGGGAGGATGCGTGTGTCCCCCCCCCCCACCCCGCAGTGGGGGTTGGTGTTCCTGGGTCAGGCCCTTCATTGCCAGCCTGGAGCACGGAGAGGGGGGACCCCTGGGACCCTGAAATGGGGACCCTGGAGAGGGGACCCTCAGGACCCCCAGCAGTCTGGAGAGGGGACACCGCAGAAAGGGGAGACCCCTGGGACACCAAAGTAGGGATCCCAGAGAGGGGAGATCCCCAGGATTCCCAGGATCTCCAGCAGCGTGAAGAAGGAAGGACCCCAGAGAGGGGGGACCCCTGGGACTCCTTGCACCCCGTAGCAGAGAATGAGGGGAGAAGGTACCCCTGGGACCCCCAAAACCCCCAGTATCCATAAATGGGGGGAACCCGGAGAAGAACTGCCCCCAGAATCCCAAAGGGAGGAGACCAGAGAGGAAGGACCCCTGTGTTTCACAGCACCCCTTACAGCCTGGAGACAGGGAACTCCCAGAACCCCAAAGTGGAGAGACCAGAGAGGGGGAACTACTTGGGAGGGTTTTATTTCACTGAATCTTGAACTTCTGGAGTTTTTTGGGGGTGAATCTTGGTGTTTTGGAGGTTTTTTGGGCTAAATCTTGGTATTTGGGGATTTTTTTTTTTGATGACTTCATATTTTGAAGGTTTTTTGATGAGTATTGATGATTTTGAGGGGTTTTTAGCTGAATCATAACCTTTTGGGATTTTTGGGGCTGTGTCGGTGTTTTGGGGATATTTGTTGGGCTGAATCTTGGTGTTTTGTAGGTTTTTGTGGACACAAGATGCCTGGTGACTTCTAGAGATGGACTTGGGCAGGAGGAACCTCCAATTCACACCTTGTTTTTCCCCCAAAATAGGATTTCTCCTTCCCAAAGCTTGGCCAAATAGAGGAGGAGGCTGCGAGGAAGATGCCACAGGACCCCCAGGCAGGTGAGGAGGAAGTCAGTGCCCCTTTGCCCCTGTTTTGTCCTGTATCTCCCAGCCAAGCATGGCCCCCAGCTGCAGGACAACCCCGCTACCGCCACCGTCCTGCCGGGGACGGATTTGGGGGGATCTCCTTGCCCTTCTCTCTGGCAGAGTCAAATCCCCTCCCTGTCCTTCTTCCTTCCTATCCTTCCTTGCTTTCCTTGTTCCTTTTGTTTCCTTCTTCCTTTTCCTTCCTTCTCCTTTTTCCTCCCCCTCCTTCTTCCTTGTGCTTTTTCCTTGCTCTCCTTGTTCCTTCTCCTTCTTCTGCTTCCTTCTCCTTCCTTTCTCTCCTTATTCCATTTTTTTCCTGTTCCTTCCACTCCTTCTTCCTTTTGCTTGTTTCTTCTTCTCCTTGCACCTTCTTCTCCTCCTTCCTTCTCCTTCTTTTTCCTTTCTCACCTCCTTCCTCTCCTTTTTCCTCTCCTTGCTCCTTCCTCTCCTCGCTTCCTCCTCAACTTGTTCCTTCCTCTCCCTCATTCCGTCTTCTTGTTCCCTTTTCTTCTTCTTCCTTCTCCTTGTTCCTTCCTCTCCTCTGTTCCTCCCTCTCCTTGTCCTTCCTCCCCCAGACAACAACTTGAGGACAGACACCATGGAGGACAAATCCCCCTGGCAGAACCTCATGGAAGAGGTTGTTTTGAACAGCTCCGCTGTGCAGGAAGGCAACGGGGAGGAAAAGCCACAAACATTCCCCATGGGAAAGGGCTCCAAACCCCCTCCATGGTGCTCCGAGGAGGAAAAACCCCCCGTGTGCTGGGAAGGTGGCTGGAGCTTCAGCCAGAGCTCTGATCTGGTGGTCCATGAGCAGCTTCACAGCAGAGAGAAGCCCTTCACGTGCTTGGAATGTGGGAAGAGCTTCAGCTGGAGGTCCCACCTGATCCGCCACCAGAAGATCCACACCGGGGAACGGCCCTACACATGTGGGGAATGTGGGAAGAGCTTCAGCCAGAGCTCTGACCTGGTGGTCCACCAGCGTCTTCACACCGGGGAACGACCCTACAAGTGCTTGGAATGTGGAAAGAGCTTCAGCAAGAGCTCCAGCCTCACGTACCACCAGCGCTTCCACAGTGGGGAACGGCCCTACAAGTGCTTGGAATGTGGGAAAAGCTTCAGCCAGAGCTCCCACCTCCTCACCCACCGCCGGCTGCACACAGGGGAACGGCCCTACAAGTGCCTGGAATGTGGGAAGAGCTTCAACCGTAGCTTCAGCCTTGTCATCCACCGGCGTGTCCACACCGGGGAACGGCCCTACAAATGTCCTGAGTGTGAGAAGAGGTTCCGGACCAGCTCTGATCTCCTTCTGCATCAACGAATGCACACAAAGGAGAGGCCCTTCCACTGCACCGACTGTGGGAAGGGCTTTGTCCGCAGCTCTGACCTCATTAAGCACTGGCACATCCACACCGGAGAGAGGCCCTACAGGTGCTTGAAGTGTGGGAAGAGCTTCAACCAGAGCTCTGCCTTGACCTCACACCAAAGGACCCACCGGTAAGGGAAGCCATCCGAGTGCCCCAACTGCAGAAAAAACTTCATCTGCTGCTCCAACTCCATCACCCATCAGAGGACCCATGTTGGATGATCCACAGTGACTCACATTGGGCAGAGACCTGGTGGGTAAAGGCCTGTTGACCACTGTTTCTGGTGACCCATGTTCCTTGTAACCCACTGTGGTAGTGCTTTACCCCCCCCCAGGCCTCGCTATGATCTGAGTAATGCTCGTTAGGCCTCGGCCTTGATGAACAGTCCCTGGGCTGAGCTGCTCTTGAGCTGCTCAGAAACACTGTCTGCTCATAGGAACTGGTGCTGTGTAATGAGCTCCTGCTTTTCTTAACCAACGACCTTGGAAACTTGTTTTTCTTGCCTGAAGAACAACCCAAGTGGAATCGTATTTTTGTTCTCCAACTTTCAGCGAAAGTCCCTAACCTGAACTGGGGCCAGGATGGACAATTCCTGTGCCTTAAAGCCCCTTCTGCGTGGGCCCCATAACCAGTGGTGCTGATTGAGACCCTTTGAGCTCTCTGAGGCCGCAGCAGCTGCGGCAGCAACCTCCCTTTGCTTGGGCCTCTCAGAGCCCCCAACTACGACGGATTAGTGGGACGGGGGAGACCTCCAGGCCTTAGGCTGCTAGCCCCATTACCTGCGAGGTGAATGCCCTTCCCCCCGCCCCAGCACATGGCCGGCGACCCCACAAGGAGCCCACACAAACCACCAGGGAGGGACGGACGAAAGAGAAAGTTTATTGTGGGGAAGGGGTTTATAAAACTTTTAGGAGGGTCAAAAGGGGGCCAATCACAAGTTCAGGGGCACAGAAAAAAACAGTCAGGTAAGGGGTCAACAGCCAACAGGAAGGGGTTAACAAGGACCAATAAGAAACACCTCAGAACACTTTCCCAGGACACCTTGTATGAGAGACAAGTCCACCACAGGGGGTGTTGGGAAGAAGAAACAGTAACCTTGCAGAAAATACAAAAAGCCATTTTGAAAACATGTTTAAACCACATTAAAAACTTCTGTCTCCATAACGTTTGAGCTGTTTTCCTCTTTCTCCTCACCAGTCCATCTCTGACAGGACTTCTTCCATCCTGCATATGGCAAATCCATTGCCACACCCAACTCTCCCATTTGCTGCATTCGGAGGATCCCGACTGACAGCAGATCCGGGGCTGATCCCTCTCACTCCTTGAGGCTCAGCCGTTCTTCTGAGAATGTGCAGTGGCATCCCAAGGGAGGATTTTCCTGAATCCCAAGGGAATTGTTCCCAGGTACCTTGTCCAGACTCTTTCTGTCTGTGTGAGTGTGAATCTGCCATAACAAATGTCCTGGGAACGCTGCTCTCCTGGATTCTTCAGCACTTTGGATTTGTTAAGTCTGTCAGGCCTGTAAGTGAGTTACTGTTATGGTGTTGTAAATTCTATATGAATGCTTTGCTAAATTGTTTGACTTCAGTTATCAGTTAAGTGCTGTTAAGTACTGTTGGGCCTCTAGGCATAAACTGTTGATCAAGTTCAGACTCAGTTTAGCATGGTGGCAGCTGCGGCAGGGGCCTGACCCTGCCCGGGACGGCTGATGCCACCTGCCTGCTCCAAACTGGGCTGGACTGGTGCTCCCAGTGCTGTGTGGGCCAGGGCCGCTTTTGGGGACCCCCCTGGCATTGTCTGGCTGCTTTTGGGGTGTCAGCACCTGCCTAGCACTGGGGATAGGCTGTGTGGGAGGAGTTGGGGCCCGACTGGTGGTGCTGGGAACCCCCCCGGCTGCGGGTGAGGGGAACTCGGGGGAGCGGGAAGGGGAGAGACAGTGGGAAAGCAGGGCAAAAGAGGGAGTGGGACACCCAAACCAAGCGGGACAGGGGTGTGACAACCCAAACCAAGATCAGTGATGGCTGGGGATTGTGGACGATTGGAAAGGGGGAGGAGAGAGAGGAAAAGGTGGGGCTTTGGACCATCAAAATGAGCTGAGAGGGGCTAGGTCACCAAATCCAAGCAAGGTGAGGGGGGATACCAAGCTGTCAGGGGAGCTGGGGATTGTGAGGATGATGAGGAAGGGGTGAGACAGTGAGGAAAAGAGTTGGAACAGCGGGTACAGGTGTCCCATGGGGGTCCTGTTGCAGGATGCTCTGCCTGGAATGGGGTAAAACAACACCAGCAAGGCCCTGTTTGAAAAGCCCTCAGTGGGAAATTAAGAAGGGCGGGGAGGAGGTTGTCATGCTGTTTTGGGGACTGAACAAAGCTGAAACCAGCCTGACTCATCAATCCCTAAGTTAAACATCCTGAGAGTGAGAGAATATTTGGCAGACCTTGTAAAATATCTGGATATAAAGGAACAAACAAGTGACACCGCTGAGAACTTCTCTAAAGCTGCTGAGCTGGCATAGCCTGGACACACCTGACTGACAGTCCAGCACTTTATACTAGAAAAGCCCAGTCCCAAATTTTAAAGGCAGGGTCTTCTGATATATCCCTTCTTGGGATTGTGTGTGGAGATTCCTGCCTGGAGTGGGGACGTCCCTCAAAGTCACTCCTCAAGGCTAAGCCAAAGAGATTTGCCTAAGGTCTTTGGTCTGGGTGAGTGACATCAGTCTCTACTTAATAATTGGTTTTGGTTAAATGCAATTGCTTTGGTACAGTTCCTTCAATATTGCTTCCTCGTGCACTATATTGCAACAGTTGTTATAGCTCCTATACTGGGTAGTAAATAATTCTGATTAAGATATTTTTACTTAATCATTATCATAATAAATCCTATATATATTTATATAAATATATCTACTTTGTAGTCCAGACCCCTGGGATATCACCATGGAAGCCCTGTCACTGCATGGGACATCACAGCTCTTTAGCAGCATAGACACCTCTGTTGTCACCATGAAGCCTCTGTGAGTGCCTGTGGCAAATTGGCTCCTTAGCAACCATCACAATTTCCTGTTGCTGTGGTCAGTTTCCATGACAACCATCACCAGGACATGTTGCTCATGCATGGTCCGCGGCAGCTCCATGGAGATGCAACCACCCCGGGGTGGTTGCCATGGGAACAAGCTGAGTCCTGTAGCCAGAGTCCGTTGCTATGGCAGCGATTTATGATCCTATACCGCTTGTCAGTTACCACAGCACTCATCAGTGGACCCCTTCCTAAGTGTGGTGCCATGGCAACCAAGATTTGGACCAGTTGTGATAGTTGGTTGCCGTGGAAACCTGCATTAGGGCACATTGCTATGGGCTTGTGCCATGGAATTCTGGGTCTGTGACGTTTCCGTGGCAGCTTGGGTCAGCTGTCCCGGCAATCATCATAGAAACCCATTGCCAGAGACTGTTGTCATGGACACTTGCACTGAGACCTGTTGCTAAGTCTGGTTGCCATGGCAACCATCAAAAAGACCCATTGCTATGGCAGTTGCTATGACAACCTGCAGGGAGACCGTTGCTGCAGTTTCCATGGCAACCATCAATAAATCCATTGCTAGGGACCTCAGTCGTGGACACTTCCATGAGTTGTTTGCCATGGAAACCATCCCACAATCTTATTGAAAGATTGGTTACCATGGCAAGCAATATAAGAATCCATTGCTAAGGTTGGTTGTCATGGCAACCATCCCAATGCCCTGTTGCTGGGGCAGGGGCACAGCACTGACCCTGTGAGACCTGGTGCTGGGGAATGGGCATTGGGAGATGATTTGGGCTGGGAGGGAGTAAGTTGCCTTCCAGAGGGCTTCTCTGGGACTGGGCTGGGAACAGGGGGGAAAATTCTGGGAGGTTTTTGTTTCTGCCCAGAGCCAAGGCCTTTCCTGCTCCTCATCCTGTCCTGCCAGCAAAGGGAGATGGAGGTGCACCAGGAGTTGGGAGGGGACACAGCCAGGACAGGTGACCCCAATTGACCCCAGTGATGTCCCAGACCATGTGCCATCACTGTCAGGTGTGGAAAAGGAGGGCAGACTGGGGAAGGAGGGAACACTGGGAGCAATGGTGTCTGTGTCACCATTCCCTGAGGTGGAGCCCTGCTCCCATGGGGATGCTGAACACCCCCCTGCCTGTGGGAAGCAGGGAGGGAGTTCCTGATTTTTGCTGCCCCCATGGAACTGTCTGTGCCTCAGCCCAGGAGTTTGGTCCCTTTTGCTCTCTGGGTTGTACCCCGTCCTGCAGGTACTCAGACGTTGCCACAATTAGCGATGGAACCAGGTGTGAGGGGCAATGCTAGAGAAACAGACTCAGAGAGACAGCGGTAGGGACTGTTGCCATAGCAACCAGCACTTGGACTATCAGTCCATTGCCAGGGACTCTTGCCATGGCAACCAGAACCATTTCTCGTGACCTAGGGCTGTTGCCATGGCAACCATCCCTCAGTCCATTGCCAGGGACTGTTTCCATGAACACCTGCACTGAGACCAATGGCCAGGGCCAGTTGCCATGACAACCACCATACAGGTCCATTGCTATGGTTGGTTTCTATGGAAACCATCTGATGACCCATAGCTAGGGCAGTTGCTATGGCAACATTCCCACGAGCTGGTTGCTGAGGTCAGAAACAATCACAGTCCAGTTACTGGAGTTGGGTTACCGTGGGAACATTCACTGAAATTGGTGGCTATAGCTGGTTGCCATGGCATAGTTAAACGTGGCAACTATGCCATGGCATAGTTAAAAACCGCTGCTGGGGACTGCTTCCATGGAGATGTGAGCTGAAACCCTTTGATATGATTAGTTGGCATGGCAACCATTAGAAGACTTGTTGCTGGAAACTGGTTCCATGAACAATTAAACAGAGACCCATTGCTATGGCAGTGGTCTCCATGGCAACCAGCAAATGACCCGTCACAATGGTGGTTTGCCATGGTAACTTCCTCCAATGGTAGTTGCTGAGGACTTTTGTTATGGAGACTTCCACTGGGTCCAGTTACAAGGGGTGGTTGCCATGGCAACCTGCACAAAGACCCAGGGCTTGTGTTGGGTGGTGAGGCAACCTGCACTGAATTTCTTGATGCAGATTGGTTACCATGGCAACTGTCATAAAGCCCCATTACAAAATCTTGGTGCTATCACAGCTTCCTCTTCCATGTGTTGCTGTGGTTGGTTGCCATCATCATGGGCAATGCCACTGAGATTCATTGCTAAGGTCAGTTACCATGACAACCATCCTAAATTCTCATTGCTAAGGTCAGTTACCATGACAACCATCCTAAATTCCCATTGCTATGGTCAGTTACTGCAGACTTATTTGGATTTTAATTTCCTGCTGATGTTAAAACCAGCACACCCGTCATGCACCAGCCTCAGGAAAGATGGAATAATGCAGTGGACTGGTAAAGAGGAGACTGAGAGTAGTGGGTGGTGGGACTTGCAAACATTGGGATCCACATTTAGCAAAGGCCACCTGATCACTCAACTCTGGGGATCTGCCCATTGGGCTGGCTCTGCCAGCCAAAACTTTTATGTACCGTACAAAGGGATAAAGTTCCTGCAGTGCACATTAAAAACATGTTGGGGAAAACAGTCTGGGTTATTCCTGCCTCAGGCAAAGGCAAACCCACCCATGGGATTGATGTTGTTCAAGGACACGGGTCCACTTGGTGGATATTTCAGGAGGATAGGAAATGCAGTGTGTGCCTCAAGGGGATTTGATTTTGGGTGAGAATAGCCAATGCATAAAATTGTATAATGTTAATAACACTATGCATTCTCACTTCTGTGCTGGCTGTTTGCCATGTCAGGGGCATTACAATAAAAATCACTGAGAGTAATGAACAATGAACTTTGATGAGACCAGACAAGTAGAATGGTGATGGAACAAGAACTGGTT